GAGCTGTAGGTGTGGTGAATGTGGGATGAGTTAATTATATTATATTATAATTAAATATTTAATAATAAATTAATTTATTTCATAAATAAAAATTCAAAAATTTTTAATAAAAATCTGATTTTGGAAATTTCAAATTTGTTTTCTTATTTTTGAAATAGACTAAACTTATTCTCTTGAATGTGAAATTTTCCTTAAAATAATTAGTAAGCACCAATATGCAACTGGAGCCAAAGTGACCGTATGACAAATACCCAACATGGAAACGTGCGAGGTTCATGTCACATACAATGATGGAATATCCATTTTTTTTATAGAATAGAACTCGTCGCTGACGGGAGAAGGCAAAAGGATTTAAAATAATCAAAACCAAAAAGGCAAAAGAGTCATACTGGATGAGTTCTCGGAGCGTCCACGTGCCCTCTTGGTCCTGCAGATTTAGGAAGATATTAGAGCCATGTTTTATGAAGTCATAAAAATCCTTCCAAAATTACTCATGCCAAAGAAAACAGATAGTTCTAATTTTTCTTTTAAAAAAAATCTATGATCTGCCTGTAGAAAACCATTTAAGTAAATGTGATTCGTACCTTGGAAACAATGGAAGGAAGTTAAATTTCCTATACCACTCATACCAACAAAAGGAATTCTTCCACAAAGCTCATTATACGCACTTCCATTTCTCATTACATTTTCCAAATGAAGAACTTGATAAATATTCCCTCTGCAATTAATAAATCGGCATTTGAAGAATTCTTGGGCCATCTTCCTTTGGATTCCTTTGTTCTAAAGTACACCCTAACAAAAAGAACAGCATTTTCTTCAATTCTTCGTCAAGAGTAGTTTTATAACCAAATTACTTTTGGATTATTGCTCTTCTCAACCTAAATAACAGATGACTGAAAACAATAAATGCGCACATGTGGACTATTTTCCTTGGACAAAAAGGTCAGAAATTAATTTTCCCTTTTTAATATCTAGAACTAAGTACGTTATTTAGAACATTTTGAAAACCCTAAACCCAAGCTCTAAGAAATTCAGATAAAAATGCCATATGCGCTGAAGTAGTTTGAATGTGATTATCGAACACACGCTTAGCAATTTCATCTTAAGATCCATCAATTTCCTTTACTATAAATGCATATATACTGCCAAAACTAGCGAAAGCATTTCACTTCTACAAACACATTTATCTCGAACACCAAAAAAAAAAAAAATTGCAAGAATAATGAAAGCATTAAAGACAAATGAATATGATTCAACCACTTGAATAACCAATCCTTTCAGCTTTCATGACGAAGAACAAAGATTCTACGATAAAGTGGGTAAATACTTATTAAACTAGCCATACTCAATAAAAATAGAAGATCGTCTATTACAGCCGTCAAGTAATCTCCTTGGGTCTGCATCTCCTTTCAACGGAACATCTCCTCTCCCCTACCCATACTCATAAATCTTTGTGCCTCAAGCATCTTACCAATACCATAAGTACATTTTCCTATTAATTGTTTCGTCCCACCATGTGTACCACAAT